CACTGCACGAAAAAATGGATTCACTCTACTTTGAATCTTATGTGAATATGGAGCATATACCATATTCACTTGCATTCGGTCAAGTTCACTACAAACCGTATTTCATATTCACTACATCTACGATATAGGGTGTGTAGTTGGTGTATGCCACATTCACAACACATACACACCACAATATGAAACTACCGTGAAAATGAAATAAACGTCATATATACTATCGGTGTGAATCTAATGTCATATTTCATTTTCACTTCACATTCACTACAGTTGCAGAATACAGTATTCTCATTATATTCACTTGTACAGTGAATATGGATTGAATACTATATTCACATATATTCACAACAAAGTGTATTTTATATCCACTAGACATTCACTGTGGGGTGTGTAGATGGTGTATGCCACATTCACAACAAATATACACTATAGCACAAATTTAAAGAAAATATGACATTAACTTCATATTTTGCTATCAGTGTGAATCTATTCCGAATTCCATTTTCACTTCATATTCACTATAGTTGTTGAATACAGTATTTTCATGATATTCACATGGGATGAATATCATATTCACTTACATTAAAGCAAATTGTTTATCATATTCACTTCACATTTACTATAGGGTGTGTACATCATAATTGCTCRAACATAGTGAATATGAAGTAAATACCRCATTCACATCAATTTCGCTGCACTCGAAGTAAATACCATATTCCCTTTAAATAACCATAAATCAAATATTACATATCCACTTTGCTTTCACCAAAGTGTATATTATAGTCACCCTTATTGGTAGTGAAAGTGAAGTAAATACAATATGTTAATCACAAAATTCAATTCACATAATATACTCAAATTGAGTTATAAACCATTTATTTCTGTAAAACTATAACAAGAATCTAGTAAAGGACAATGCATCTTTTAAAAAGGAATTCCTATCATAATGTATATTCTATTTACACTTATAAAATTATAAAAAAATTCATTTGAAAGCTAGTAAAATATACTAATGGTGCCCCAATCATGATTTGATTAAAGCAAAATTGTAAGAAAAAGTTTTAAGAAAGTCTTTAAGGCTACAGTCTCCTAGCCCTTTTGTTAACAGTAACTTTTCAATGTATTTAATATATTATCTGAATAATAAACTATGTACATTTATAATAAAACAATTTAAAAAGTTTAGATTCTCATGGCCCAACCTGGCGCACCCTCAGGTACTGTTCTAGATGATGGAGGGCCTTCTCTTCTTTTAATTACCATAGAGTTCCCTTTCGCTGATCGCCTTCTTGCAAGTCTTCGATCAAGCTTTTTAAAAGCCTGGTTCAGTTCGTCACTCCTCCAAGTTAATTTCTTTACAACTATGACCTTAGTCTTGGGCTCATTGTTCTCACCATCAGAATTTGAACCATCATCACTAATATTGTTGTCATCTGATTCRTCCGACATGGACTCATCAGATGACATGTAGGCATTTGTTAGTACAGGCAACAGCTTTTCTCTGTTAGCATCAGAAAAAGAGGTTGATTCCATCAACACTTTTTTGCGCTGTTGTCTTTTCTGAAATGAATGAAGGCATATTTCTGTTAATTGAACAATTTATCAAATGCAATAATAATTACAAATCTGACACAAAATCACTCCTCCCCCCCCCAATTTGTTTTGTAGTGCAGCTCACATGTCTATTTTTTCAAATAAGGACTGCAGATCCATGCTCATAAAATTTTTCTTTTTTATAAACTCTAAAAAATGACAACATTGGGCAAACTGTATAATTACAGCAGATTTCAAACCCCCCCAAAAATACACTTTATAAGAGAAACACTTACAGTATTCATTCTTGTGCGGGCCCGTGACGACTTCAAATATTCTTTGGTCTTGTTTTGTTGTCTTTGGACATGTCTCCTTTTTCTTGTCTTAAAGTAGGTTCTTATTGAGTCTAAAAAAAATAAGAAATTTATAGAAGAATAATCTTATATTTCTGAAACAAAAATGAGACAATTGCTTATTCCACACAATAATAATTATTGAGGTAAACAACTGTTTTTAATTTCCTAGACATTAAATAGGTTATGAACTTTCATCATAGAAATAGTGATTTTTGATGTATACAATGTCTTAATCAATGAATAGACTGGTCAACTGTAATAAACACTAACATGCAGGAGATGCAAGGGAATTTAAGCTWGTTTTGTTTTGTCGCCTCCCATAGCTGTTATGCAAGGCAAGGTTTGGAGGAGTCAATGAGTCAATAATAATTGGTTAAAGTTTTAAACAGATACACAGAAAGGGATCATTCATATATAATAAGTTACATATTCATAATATTATGTACCTCTTATGGCTGCTGTTGAATACTCCTTTTTAGTACTTTGCACACTTGTTAGTATTTTGTAGTTAACTTTTCCATTCTCTTGAGACGAAAACCTGTAGAAAATATGCAATTGTAACTAATTATACACACACATTCATACATAACATATACA